TTGTTGTTTTGCAGAGCAAGCCTAAGAAATGTACAAAGCTTTAAAAAGCACGAGCTGAGCAATCGTTTTGCCTATTAGATCTTTTGTTTTGCTTCGTCCTCGTTGTTCTCGTTGTCGTCGTTTGCTTTCAGTCGCAATTAACAACGTGAAATTATGAAAGTCTGCGTGTTCCGAGAAAAGAAACGTCGACGGCAAATTATTTAACTTTTCCACTTAGAAATCAACGCCGCTCTCATACGTCATGCTAACGTTAACTTGCGTCGACGTTAGAGATGGTAAGCACATCCAGTCATTCGCGAAATTCCAACTGAAAATGTATATTCATTTCTAAATCGACGTCTTCCTCGTCGCTGTAATGTACTGTTTAATGACTATCGGCAAATCAGTTGCACAAGTTAATCCATTCAACCTACCTTGAAAGGCAAGGCAAATGCTCGGTCTTTAGTGAAGATGGGGTAATTTAGTACTATCCACCGCAAAGAGCTAGAAAAGCTGACGCCTCGAGCTCGTTTAAACCCTTCGTCAGAGCGATTAAAGGAATTGTGGGTTGTGTGTGGTTTTATTTGCAGAAAATGGAGCTACGCTATTGGTAGGAATATGATGAGGAGAAAACAATAATAAATTTGTTGAATGAAAAGCGCTCGTAGACACGGTGGTGCTGTGGTAAATACTCTTGTCAATCTTTTCCCGTAAAATTCAGGCACGGAAACAAAAATTCTATAATCCTTTTCTTTTGGGTGGTGTTTCAAATAACACAAATTAAAGAAAAATCACAAAAGACGTTTTTCAAAGTTTAATTTATCAATCCTCTGTATTAAATAGCTTCATTTTACTCAGAAACTTAATCTGCAGATGCTTGAAACTCGTCTTATCTTGTAACAAAAAAAACGCTTGGATCTCTAACAAGCCCACATATAACATGCAATCTACTTGAACTCATCACTCAGCAACTTTATCTGCAGATGCTTGAAACTCGTCTTATCTTGTAACAAAAAAACGCTTGGAGCTATATGCAATCTATCTGAACCTTTTTTCTAAAGAACATTTTATTTCAGGAACGTGACATGAACCTTTAAAATACACAGAGTTCATTTCCGTTAACATATTATATGTTCATAGTTTAACTGGTTGATATTTTTAATGACAAATAGTTTGTCTTCTTCACTCTTTTGGTCACCATGTGATCATTTCTTCATGCCTTCTGGTCTAGCTTAAGTGGGTCGGGAAGTTGGGTAAGACTTCGTAAAATACTTCGTTAGCCAGCCGAAGAATGTTTGGTACTTTCTACCAGATTTAGCACCGGTCAGCTCACCGATGAGTTGCCCTGTTACACCACCAAACACATCCTTAATGATTTCTTCAGAGTACGTTTCGTCCACATTGATGGAGGGACCTGACACCTTTGTATCTTGGTCAGGTTCGTCGGACATCTTGGTTTTCTTTAAACAACGGTTCAATTTTTCGTCAAAGTCGCCCTCTTTCAATTTGGCTCTGAATTCTGTGATTGCATTCCTTTCTTCGATGGATAAATTACCGAACTGGTCAAGATTGACAACGTTGCCATCTTTCCTTACTTTGATTTCTTCGTTTCCGTCACTAAAGGTGGAAGAAAATGAAATACGATCGACAGTTGCCATTAGGAAAGCAGCTTTTGCGTTCCTGTTGATACGTTTGAAAGCTGCGATCCAAAATGCTGTTAACCAGTCTTCTCTATCTGGAAGTCTTGGATCATCCAACTCTCCGGCTGGCGTATATGGCACATTAGTCGCTGTAATATCAGGTACTCCGATAGCAACCAAATGTTTGTTTATCGCTTTCTTGAAAGCTAAAACACGGTTATTGAAAGCGGTTGCTTCAGGTACGTCATCTGTCTTCTTGGTTGGCGATAGTGGGACTTCGTTGGCAAAGGTTAAAACCACAAGAGCATGTTCCCAAAGTTTCTCCCCCAAGGCATCTGTAAGCTTCTTTATCGTTTCCAAGTCGTCGGTGCGGAATCGCTTACTGGTCATCTCAGTGCAGAACAGAAACAGGTCGAAGTGAGCTACTTTCTCCTTGATTTTCCGCAGATATTCTTCATCATTGCCGGTTGCGTCTGCAAGTCCCGGAGTGTCGAACACTGTGATATTTATGCCGTTTTTGACAACCTCGTAGGCAGTTACCTAAGGGAAATAAAACAGGAAATTAATACAACATTTAACTCTAACAGAGATTTCATTATAATATGTCTTGGAATGCTACCTCAGTTACGCGAGAAAAATCCATGAAAACGTTTTATTTATAGGAAAGCCCTGTCCGTCTAAAAGACATTGGAAAGTAGTCGTTTCCTATCCTTCGAGTAACTTTGTACTTAATACCCTTAGAAACATTCAATAATTCTTTCTTGATTTCAAGTATCAATGATAGGACTTTCCGGAAGAAAATGGAAACAGATGGAGTTTAAACATGCTGCTCAAAATGACGCGAAATATTATCCATTTTCCCATCTACAAGTAATGCACAGTAACCCGTTAATGAAAGCACCTCATAATAGTTGAAGAGGTGAAGCAATTGTCGATATCAAAGTAGCTTACGTTATCAGTTTGTGGGTCGATGTCATATCCTTCTGCTGCAAGGTTTTCTCCAATAAGCGCATTTGTCAAATAAGACTTGCCAACTCCTGTCTTGCCACTCAGGAGGATATTAACTGTCTGGCCACCGGAACTGACAAATTCTTCGATCTGGTACTCCAAGTTTTTTGCACCAAATATAATCTGACCAACTTCAGTTGCCAAGGCATCGGAACTTTTCTCTGGGGTCCCTTCCTGTGCCATTCTTGATAATAAATGAAAAAAAATAATGTTTAGTAATATAAAGAGGCCTACGCAGTATATACCTTTCGGTGAGCGGTCGGTAACCCTAACCCTGGCACTAATCAATCGGATCATTAGGTGCTTTTCGCTCACTCGTGCTTCATTCGTGTCACAGCCTTTAAAGAGTTGATTTGTTGAAACAGTTTTGAGTCATTTATGAGACGTTAGTACTTAGTTTTTGTTTACGACGAGAAAACAAATTTCGGCTGCTGATACTCTGATCGTCAGGTGTTTTATTTCCATGCGGATCACTCGCGACTACTGGTTATGTGCCACGTGACGGAAGAGTAGAATGGAAGAAAATTTTCATTGCCGAGAAAAATTTAGATAAATCTCAACTGTGCTTGCGCTTTCTTCTCCTCATCCGATTTGCTGTGTTATTGACACTTTAATATATCGATCAGTTCTAGCATTCAAACCTTCAACCTGTATTTCATCCTCTTCCATCTAAAAATATTGATCAAATCCGGTGGACAATGTTCTGCGTGCTTTATGTTTTTTTATGTATTTAGTTTACTTAAAGGGAGCGCTTAGTTTTTCTTTCAAATACTTTGAGTGATCTGTGTTTTGTTCTCTATTTAGTTTACTTTAAGGTGCGCTTGGTTCTTCTTTCAAATTATACAAACGGGCCATTTTTGTGATCGTAAGATTTTAAATGTCAGTCAATATTTTGGTAATCCGTTAGCTTACGTGCAGCCGTAGGGAACGTCACTCCAATCCATGCAAAATTATGTGAGTTGATGATATTTTTTTGCGTGCTAGCGAGAAAGGTAATCGAGGTAAACAGCAATTCAAGCGAATTCATTTTCCATTATTTCAGGTAAATTTGCAATTCAGTGTCCACGTTCAATTATATACTTTGCTTTAAGGTTATAAGAAAATATTTTAGGCGATATTTGGAAAAGAGTAAGGGGAGAACGTTGTTCGATTGGCATCGCGCTTACGAAACGAAACGAAACGAAATGTCAGTCGTGTAATCGTCTCTGCTTACATTTAATTGAAGACAGTGCCACTTTTGTCTTAAAATGTTGGATCATTTGCCGCAGAATGTCAATGTTTTACAGATTTCTCTAACAGATAGTTATGGTGTACATGAGAAGAAAAAGGGAATTATTTCTCAGTCGAAAGGATCGCTGCAGGAAACATGACTAACTTTAATTATTTTGACAGTATTTTAGTGATCTGTTGCCTTTTGTTGGCAAACTTATCTGTCAGTCTTCAATCAAACAAAGCTGGATTCTTGGAAAAATCGAGGACGCGAGGATTCTTGGAAAAAGAAGAAACATCTTACAACAAATTATCCAACAAAGATTCCTTAAAAAAAAAACTATTTCTTCCTGATAAGTAGAACTTGCTATCGATATCGATCATAATATATTACTCAAATTTCGCCAGCAAAATCGGCTCGAACTTCTCCAAACGTGGATCGCGTAGCGTACAATAATAGAGCCGCTATTTTCACCAGTGTTGTTTGATTCGTAACGGCGACAACTAGGGAAGACCTGAACAAATGTAAACCGGATTTTGTCGCCGTATCGAAAGAAACCACGAATACGCGAAAGACGGCGTGTGCTTGTGAGACTCTCGTGACGCGTTGCATAGCATATCTTTACAGAATTTCTTCAACAAAGCTTAGTTTTTCTTTTAAATTATACAAACAGGCCATTTTTGTGACCATATGACGCTAAGTTTTGGTCAATATTTAAGTCATCTGTTGCCTTTTGTTGGCAAACTTATCTGTCAGTCTTTAATCAATCATAGCTGAGAATTCTTGGAAAAAGAAGAAACATCTTATAACAAATTATCCAACAAAGATTCCTTGAAAAAAATGTTTCGGAATTAGCTTAGAACTGTCTAAACCCCGTTAAAAGCTATTTCTTCTTAATGACGAGTGAGAGTAGATCTTGCTATCGATATCGATCGCAACATATATTATTCGACTTTTGCCAGCAAAATCGGCTCGAACTTCTCCAAACGTGGATCACGTCGCGCACGAAGATAAAGCTGCAATTTTGACCAGTGATGTTTAATTCGTAACGGCGACAACTAGCGAAGACCTGAACAAATG